ACTGGCTGTGGCATTGATTTTACTAATTTTCTGCAACTATTAAATATGACTAAATTACTTCCAAGTGCAATTCTTCCTTGCTTTGCTAACTCTTTTATAAGTTAAGTATGTTCAGTTTCTTTTTTTTTTTCCTTCCCAAGGCAATTTGGGAGTCATGTATTTAAATGAGCATAAAAAATGATTCTCTAATTCTGTCTGAAGCAGATTCACTTTAAATTTGCAAGTTGAAGCTTTTATTCTTATCTACATTTTAGAAGACAAGCTAAATTATTCCCAGATTCACCCATTTCCTTAAATCCATGATCACACAGAATTCTGGCTGTGAAGGCTTCTCTTTTGCCATCCTGGGGGGAGTATTTATACACAAATGATGCTAAACACAGGAATCTGGGGAAGAGTTGTTCTCTAAAGGGTTCCTCCTCTCCCAATTAAGAAACACAAATAAGTTGTGATAATGAATTAACCATCCATTTGTCTTATTGTGGGAAAAACAGGTGGCCTATTGTATTTAAGTGTGCTAAAATGATCTATAAGTGCCATTGTCTAAAATAATAAGAAACAATAATTGTCTAGAGTATTGGTATTATTTTTAGTAACATTCTCCAACAGAAATATTAGGAGTTCTTGAGGTAATGGCTGATTTTTGGTCTGGAGCACAAATTATATGATCAATTGAGCATCATGTAATGGCAGAAAGTAGGGAATTCTAAAATGCACATACGTTAATAAGCATATGTGACAGAGAAATTGGAGTCGACCCATAGAACCCATCAAAGCTATAAATAATTTGGACATCAAAATAAATAATAAAATATTGAAATATATCTTAAAGTATAAAATGAATACCAATGAGTTCCTAAATATGTAATATAATGAGTAACTAAATAAAGAAGCATAAAATATCTCACATGAAAAAAATTCCAAATGATTTTTCAAATTTGACTACTTTAAGGTACTTCATATAAATGGAATAATTCAGTATTAAACTTTTTGTGCATGGCTAATATTTCTTAACACAGTGTCCTCAAGCTTCATCCATCACAAGTATTGGAACATTCTTTTAATACTGGATAATATTCCTAGGTATGTATGTATCACATTTTTAAAATCTGTTCTTTAGTTGTAGATCACTTGAATCGCTTATGTGGTTTGGATATTACACATAAGGTTGCCATATACATGAGTGCACATCTATTAAAGTCCATGAGTTCAATTGATTTGTGTTTGTGCACAAAAATAGAATTGGATCATTTAGTAGTTAATTTTTAAGGAGCAAATCTCATAGAAGTCAAACATTGTATAGTCCCATAAATAGGACACAAGTGTTCTTATTTTTATATCTTTTCCAATTTTTTCTTTCTCTYTCTTTTCTTTTTGTTAATAATAGCCATCTGAAAGGTTCAAGGTTCTTTTTCTCTGTGCTTTCAATTTACGTTTCCCCATGAGTACTAATGTTGACAGCCATTTCTTGTGCTTATTAGCCATTTATTTATCTTCTTTGGAGAAATGCTCATTTAGTACATGGGTTATTTTTAAAAATTGAAGAAATGTATACAACTACATTTGATGATGGAGTAGTGAGTGCCATGCAGGCTCAACTTTGTTTTTGTGAGCAAGATAATATCATGTTGGACAGGTCAGTGTGCATGGTCATTTGGTCGCTAATGTGTTTGGGATTTTTAATGTCCCTCAGAAACCTATGTGTTAGGGGCTTGGTCCTCAGGGTGGTGCTGGGAGCCTTGAGAAGCCAGTCCTTTAGGGGTTTCTCTTTCATTGGTGATGTGCCTCTGAAGAGAACTGTGGGACCTCATGCTCTTTCTTGTATTCTTGCCTCCTGGATATGATCAACATAGAGGGGCCCCATTGTTCTTTTGGTCTTAGATGATCCTGGAGGGAAATGGCCAAAATATTGACAGTTTTATTAAGATCTTTAATCCAACCCACATCTCATGGGGGCAGTGGGAATGGGATTCCCCTTGGTGGAATGGGCTGGCTGAGAAATGAAAGCTAAGAGAAATACAGTAGCAAAAAAATCACAGAACAGAGAAAGTAGTTTCAAAAGTGGGAGCATGATGGGCAAGCTGAACAGATGGACGGAGCTTCTGGCAAAATGGTGCCCACATCTGCTTTATTTATATTGGGAGACATCAAGGGCCTTCCATAGAATGTTCTTCTCCAAAAAAGGTTAAAGTTGGGCTGTTCCGTTCCTAATGGGCTACACCCATCTCTGGACCTACTATGAGGACCTTCCTAGGAGAGCAGAGGGAAGGGCCATGTGCTTTGGGAATCTATTTCTATGGGAGAGCTACAGAAAGTTCCCAATGCCAGGCCTCTCTCTCCCTGGCTTCCAGGCCAAGAGAAGATCCTCCTGTATTTCACGGATGGCTTCTTATACTTTCATTTTTCTTGTTTTCTTCCTCCAAGTCTTAGTTGTTGAACACTCAGAAAACCAGTTTCACCAGTTTTGAAACAGGTGTGGTGCATTTTAACTTTTATAATATTACAGTTCCCCTTTCCATTTGTTTGGGGTCAATATTCGTATTGGGAGTCAGTGTTATATCTTCCCTTTACATTATAACTTATTGTCTCAAATAACCTCAAAATTAACCTTTTGAAGTCCACTGGTAGTGGGAGGGAAAACATTTTTATAGGAAACAGAGGCATTTTTCACTTGCAAAACTTATGTTTCTCTCTCCTCCATCTTCTGAATTTCCTCAAACATTTGGTGGTGGAAGTCAGAACCTGAATCTTACCTATAATTCTTCTCTTTCTAATCTTCCTCATAATCAGTTCTGTTGTCTAAAACTTTTAAAAAAATTGGGGAACAATTCCTCTCTCTCCATGTCAGTTTGTGTTCTATAGATACAGAACTTGAACTGAAGATGTTTTAACAAATGACAAATGTAAGTCAAGAAAGCCAATATGATAGGGGAAAGAAAGCATGTGGTCTCAAGTGAAGTCTGGTTTTAACTTTGGCCTCAGCAGCTCTAGAGTACTCACTGTTAACTGCACAACATGGTCTGCATGGAGACCAGGAGACACAAACTTTTTGTACTCTTATAATAGTCTTTTGCTTTCCCCTCTATTCACAAAACAAGAATCTAACTACATTACTTGCTAGATTAAAAATGCTATCAAAATTTGATCCACGGACCTTACCTTTAAGGTTTAACAGTATTATGAAACCTTTCTTGATCTTGCCTTTTTCTGTCTTTTGAGTCTTGGAAGTTAAAATTTACCTTTATTCTAGGTTAGTATGCAGTTTTTCTGCATAGGTTTTTTTTTTTTTTATAATCTCTGTATCTAGTACCTGTCCTAGGAATGATTTAGTCTTGTATCTTGCCTATTTACCGATCCTACTCTCTCCCTTGGATATGATCTTTATGATTTTTAATGTTTTCCCATTTAGGAATCTTTCTTGACCCATGCCTCACTTCCCTCTTGTATGGTTTCGTAGCACCCTGTCTATCTTACCATTGTTAATGCTCTGCAGTAGTTTTCTACTCCTTTCTGGGAGTCTCTCAGTAGATTTAAAATGTATAAAGAAAGAAGCTATTTGTACCTTATGCCACATCAGAAACCCACCAAAATATATTCCCTGAGCACAAAATTTTGTTTATTAATGAGTGAAGGAAGAATTGCCTGAAAAGTATTTAATCCTGCAATTGCTCTGTGTGTAGGAAGATCTACATATTATGAGAAATGACTTTTAATGAAATGTAATACAGAAATAATTACATTATAAGTTATTACATAGTGAATTATTACATAATTACATAATGAAATGTAACCACAAAGTAACTGGAAAATGATAAAGAACCCTCATTTGTAGAATAATGATGTCTTCCTTAGGGAATATCAAGGCAAACACTTTCTCACATATTGTGAAATTCAATTCCATAATCTTTCCCATTCCTCAAAGTGAGAGGTAAACAAATTTTTGTTTTATTTAAAGGGCAATCAAGAATTCTCTACAGAATTCTCATCCAAAAGAAATAAAGGTAGAAAAAAATTCCCATGATCCCTTGTAATCATTTTAGTGTATATTTTATTGAATTCATTTTTGTGATTTATACTTTATTTATTTAATATGTAATCAGGTACTAAACATTGTGCTACTTGTGGAAAATATTGATAGCTAGCAGGAAAGTACCTTATGGATTATAACTGCTCTTTTAGTAAACAGGAATTCTAAAGTGACATTCAAAAACTCTTTTATTTAAGTCATCACTCTTTCTAATAGGTTATCAGCTTGCAGTGACCTGAGCAAATAGCCGAGTTCAAAGGCTAAAAGGAAATGTAGAAACRTGGTTGAATCTTTCTCACCACTTGCAGGGTAAATGAATGGCCATTGTTTTTTGCCCTGAAGTACTTAGACACCACAATCTTATTAGAAATATATGGCCATCCATTTTGACATATAAAATAAAAATAAATAATAATAAAATGTCTTCATTTTTAGTTATAGATAGTAAAAGAGCATTATAATAGGCTAAGTACAGTTCTTTTCTCAAAAATTCTAACCAATAAAATTATATTAATATTTTCTCATCATTCCTGGAAATGTATGATAGCAATTAAGCATATGGTCCAGAAAATTGGTAATATTCTGGTTACTGGACCATTAATACACCACTTCTTATAACTCCCTATTTCTGTCAGGTACTATATGGTAATGGTAGTGTTTACCTGATGTAGAGTTATAGACATTAATGATCAAWACCAGTATTTTTTATATTCTTAATTTTTTTAGAAGGAAAAACTATAAATCCAAATAAATGGATCAATCTAGGAAAATCAGGACCAGAATTAGTAGAAACTTGCAATATGAGTAGATTGTCCTGGGTTAGGTAGTCTCTGATCTTTAACCTACTTATTCTTATTTCAATGAAGAGTTTATAAATAACAGTCTTTTTTCATCCAAACATAATCTTCTGAGATACTCCAAAATTTTCATTTATCCTTTCCTCACTTAAATCAATGTTGGAATTTAGTCAAATTCATTTATCAAGCAATTTCCTGCTAAACAATTTTCTCATAGCATCTTTCATCTGAGCATTTCTCAAAGTGTAGATCACAGGATTTAACATGGGAGTTATCATGGTATAGAATACAGCAACTGCTTTATCAATGGGTAAATTAGCTGGAGGTCTCATGTACACAAATATGCAGGGAACAAAGAAGAGGACAACCACTGTGATGTGGGAGACACAGGTGGACAAGGCCTTGCGCCTACCCTCCAGGCTGTGGGTCCTCAGGGAGTGCAGGATGACCACATAGGAGAYCAGCAGGAGGAGGAAGTTTAACAGGCAGATGAATCCACTATTGGCAGCAACAAAGAGCCCCAGAGTGTGGGTATCAGTGCAGGCCAGATTGAGCAAAGGGTTCAGATCACACATAAAGTGATCAATGACATTAGGGCCACAGAAGGGTAGTGGTAAGATGAAGAGGATCTGAATGATTGCATGGAGAAAGCCTCCCATCCAGGACACTCCCACTAGCAGGGCACACACTCTCCAGTTCATGATGGTTGTATAGTGCAAGGGCTTGCAGATAGCCACATAGCGGTCATAGGCCATCACTGTCAGCAGAATGACCTCTACACCTCCAAAGAAATGTTCCCCAAAGACTTGTGCCATGCATCCTTTGAAAAGGATGGTCTTCTTTTCATGGAGTGCATCTCTAATCAGTTTAGGATTGTTGACAGAGGCATAGCAGGCATCAATAAAGGAGAGATAGGCCAGGAAAAAGTACATGGGGGATCCCAACAATGAGCTGCTAGTGATGGTTATCAAGATGAGCAAATTTCCTACTATAGAGATAATGTAGATGAGCAAAAATACAGCAAATACTATTTTCTGCATCTTTGGGTTTTGTGTAAGTCCCAGAAGAACAAACTCTGTCACATTGTTTGTAGTCTTCATGTACTTCATGTGGACGTTTGTTACATTACCTGAAAAAGTTGATACAACCTAGGATTTATTCAGATTTTCCATCCTAATAAATATTAAATGCCTGGATGCCACTGAGATGTGAAATCTTATGACATTTGTATGTTTTTGTGGTTGCACTTATTTATTTTTTGAGATGTATCAAAGRGTTCTGAATTCCTGAAGATTACTCAAATTGCCTCCTGAGTGACTATTAGRAAAACAGAATATAGATAAGGACTTTTGTATAGATAAGGATTGGCATCTGAGTACACTAATATATCTGGGATGACTTTGAGCCTGAACTGAAATAATGGATTTCATACACCAGTAGCAACTTAGCCCAAAAAAGGAGGTAAAAGTTGAAACTACTGGATATTCATATACAGGTGAAAAATTGTGCCCTTTATTATTAAGAAATGGAAAATTACAAAAAAAAATAGAGAATGAGTAAAAGGATGACAAGGAGTTTGATTAAGGTAAACCTTGAGTACTAATCTCATATAGGTCTTCCTGGGTCCTGGATGAAGCTGAGTCAGGTTMAGTACAGTGGAAGTCAGAGGCAAGAGCCGCAGGTAACAGAGTATTATAACATTTGATATAAATATGATGGAAATGTAATGAAATACAAAATAGATAGTATAAAATAACCTATAATGTGTRTTTACACAATTCAAGAACTTATCCTTGATAATAAAATATTTTAATGTGAATTCTGTGTGTTCCAAGGTACCAAGTACTCCACACACAATTCATTTTAATAATTAGAATAACCTTGGTGGTCAAAATTATTTGTACATTTAACAGGTAAGGAAATGATGTCAGAGACTAATGTTTGCTGTTTAAAAGCAATGAAATATTATATAAAGCTTTCTGAGCATTTCATGTATTTTAAGYGATTTTATAGATTCTTGTTGCAGATTCTCTTTCTTGGGCTACATTTCCTGCCACTTTGCATACCTAAATCATCATCTATAAACTGAGAATAACAATACTACCTCATCATTTGTTAAGAGAATTGATTGTTATATTATTGTATCCACCATGGTGCTGGGGATACATATAGGAACTTTCATCCACTTTTATAACTGCATGCACTCAGCAGAGAAGCAGAACTTTTGACCCTACAACAATCTGAGTAAAAATGCTTTCCAAAATTACTGTTAAAGAAGCCAGAGAGACTTACCTGTATTATCCACAGTATTTGATATCAGAAAGAGTCCAACTTGCCTGTGCTTGGACTAACAAGTGATGATTTGTGTCCATTAAAATTCATATTTAGATCATTTTTGTGTGAGAGATATATTAAATTTTGTTTTCATCTTCAAGATTAATCTTGGTTATTAATTGATATGTCTCTTCCTTAAATAATGGTTCCTAGTGCTAGACAGCTTGGTTTTAGAAAGTACTTCATCTCTTGGAGTCTCAAATTGTTCAATGTCAGATTAGATTCATGACATATTTCAAATGTGTTTTGAAAATTTTGGTTACGAATGAGATTCTCTGTGCAGTATTTGACAAATTTAGAAAAGTAATGTTAACTGTATATGAAACACAACAATATTTAGTAACCCTCACCACTTTTAAAAAACCTACCTTTGCAATTCTGGATGATTTTTGTGGCATTACGATGTGTTCAGGCACAAATCCATCTTCAAATTAGTTCCCCTTGCAATAAGCAGAGTTCAATATGAAAGATAAAATGGAGTTGAGAAAAAACCACTCAGATAATTCAAAATCAAATCAGCCATTTTTAAGGCTGTGTCTTTATAAGTTTAAATCTTTCCATCTTAGATAAGCCTAAAGTGRTTTCACCMAAATCCTGAGAYTTGAATTYAGAATGGAWTCACTTGATTCAYTATTATGGAGAAATGATCCTCATTACCTGGTTCTGGCCCATCAGGGCAGGATGTAGGAAATGCAGAGCAAAAGCTTTTGAGTGGCTCATTCCACTCACAAGGATTCTTGCTGTGGAGACATTAATGACAAGAAGGAATATTTTCATCCCACACTATCAGGATATTTAAAGAGGTTCCCATAAAAACTCAGGTACCTTCCTTGTAGTTGTTCATCCTCTCCCAGGAATTAGTTATCCCTTGTTGGAAAAGCTTTGTGTTTAGAAGTGGGTGTCCTGGCAGTGTGTTTGTGTGTCACCSACTCTAGAGTACAGATGGCATTCCCTGCACTTACAACATAAACAAGTGGGAGTTGCCTTTCCCTTTCTGAACCTGAGTTGCTAGGAGAGCTGAATACCAGGTAAATAGCACAGTGGCCTAAGTCCAGCCTGGGGACCAGTGGTGCAGGGTCCCTGATGATACCTGTCACAGAGGGGCGTCTTTCTTCTTATCATTTTAAAACCATTTCTGAAAACTCCTCATGATTGCTAAAACTCCTCATGAGAGCTAAAGCAGTGAAGACAGAGCTTTACTGAGAGACATTTTAARTAGATAATTGAAAAAAACTGCTTTTCCTAATTTTCATAGTATTTTGGAAATAGAATCCTCAGAAGGCTCTAAATTACTTATCCCTGATCTCATGGTGTGGTCAGTGTAGATTAACAGGCAGCATGACAAATTTGAAAAGAGATCTAAAACACAAGAAGAGAGTTTCAATCTTTCCATATTTTGTCACTTGGCATTGTTTATTTTTTCCCATTCTGTATCCAGGTGTCAATTGTTTTGACTTTAAATTGAAATTTTGTGATGACTGTCTATGAAGATTTTTTTCATATTCTTATCTACTGTTAATGTTAATATTTTGTAAAATATTTATTTATATCTTTGCATAAGTTAAAAGTAATTGTTCTTGATTTCTTCCTATTTAGTTATAAGTGCTCAGCATTTTACAATGCAGGTCTTTGTCATGTCTATAATGTGTAAACCCATAAACACACAATTTACTCAAAGCCTGTGAATTCTTTTATCATTTCTCAAATAACAGTTGTTTGGGTTATAATTTACATACAGAAAAATGTGCACATATAATATATAAAAACCACTCTCTGCATTGGAGTTAGACTCTTACAGATTTACCATGTGAATGTTGTCATGTCATATTTGTCCTCTGTGCCAGATCTTTTTTTTTTAATTTTCTAAACATATTATCTTCTGGGTTCATCCATTTTGTTGCAAATGAAAGGATTTTTTTAAGCCAGAATAATGTTCTGTTATATACATATGACAGATATTCTTTATGTAATGATCTATCAATGAACGTTTAAGTTTCTTCCATATTTGGCTGTTGTGAACAACATATAATGGTCTCAAGAATGCACATATGACTTGGAGATCCTGTTTTAATTCCTTTGAATAAATATCCAGAAATAGCATTGTTAGATTATATGTAGTTCTATTTTTTTTTTGTTAATACTATAAAGGAATGTTCAAGCTGTTTTCCGCAGACAGAGCCAATATTTCATTCACACCAACTATGACAAGTTTTTCCTTTTCCCTATCATTGCCTCTATTTGTTATGTTGGTTTTTGGTTTATTTTTATAATATGCATCCTCCTGGGTTATGTTCATATGTTGCTTTGATTTGATTTTTCACTTTTCCTGATGATTATAAAAATATTGACTTTGGATTCCTTTTTATATAGCTGTTGGCCATTGGTATTCTTTGGACAAATGTCCATTCAAGGTCTTGCATGTTTAACTTTTATTTATTTAATTTTCTTTTATGTTGAACTAATAAATAAAAATCATATAATATACATATTAATAGGCTACTCATGTTTTGATACATATTTCATATTTCATAATGTTTCCACTAGGTATTTAASGTGATGTAAATACCTGAGGCTGGGATCCCAGCCTCTTTCACTTCCTTCTTTACTTCCTGACCATGATCTAAGCAGTTGTTTCTGTGCCATAAGCTTTTCTTATGATGTACTGCCTCAGGGCTAAAGTAAAGCAAACAACTGAAAATGGAATGGAATCTACRAAGTCTGAGCCAAAACTTTTCTTTCCTCTATATACATTGATTATATCAGATATTGTAATATGGAGATGGAAAGGAGAACCAGGCCAAGAACTGTATGGAAATGGGTAACAGCTACCTATGAAGGATAGCATGAATCTCCCTAAAAATCCTGAGGACTTACATTGAAATTCACCTGTTGGTGCCATCTGTACCATAGGCATTTTACATAAAATTGGATCATGTGATTAATATGACCTATGTGGCAGAACTCTGCCATTTGTTTTATAGACTTCTCTTCTTCTGGGCCCCCCTCAAAACTAGAATTTTGGGGGACATCCAAATGAGAAATATGTTGTCTCTAAAATCCAAGTGATCCACTAGGAATCATACCTCTTTTTTCCTTGTAAGAGGGGCCAGATGCATCAACTTATCATTCCATTCACCTTAGAAGGGATATCTGGACATACCTCACAACACTGAATTCCTAGATATTAAACAGRGGTAGAAAGTCCACAAATTTTATTCAGAATTATTTCTCTCACTCCAGTGTGTTAACAATAAGTCTAGAGTAGTTGCTTCTTCTCATCTATTGATAGTTCCAATAATCACAAAGTAATCAACGTACAGGCCATAATGTTCTTGAGGAAGAACAAGTCAACAAGATACCTGTGAACTAAGTTATAACATGGTTCTGGAACACTGGCATACACCTGAAGTTAGCCACATTTACCTTTTTAACTGAAACCAAACTGGTCCTTTATGGGAGAATAAGGAAAAAAAGACTTCGCCAAACCATTAGCTGCATAGCAGTTACCAGTGGGATGTGTTAATTTGTTCAAGCAATGAAGGCACATCTTGTATAGCAGCTGTAATTGGAGCCTCCACCTGATTAAGCTTATGGTAATGGACTATCATTTTCTCATAACTGTCTGTTGTTTGCACAGGCAAAATAGTTGAGTTGAATGAATATGTGGTAAGAATCAGTGGACCATCTTTCAAGTCTTGATGGTGCCGGCAAACTCTGAAATCCTTCCAGGAATGCAGTAGTATTATTTATCAAGCAAAATGCAATCCTGYGTTTGGTC